AGTGTAGGCATTAACTGATATCAGAGACACAAGGTGCTTGCAGCACAACTCAGAAGGAATGTAGCTTAAGAATTATTTAATGACTTTAAAAAAATAGTTAGATATTTGATGTGACTACAAAAATATGATAGATTGAAGTCTCTCACTAAATTTACATTTTCCAAATGGAGTTGAAAAGGCAAAATATGTCTTTTGTTTCAGATTTGAAGTATTATTGATGACATATGAGATAACATTGTTTTGATACAATTGCAAATCTTGGTTATTCAACAATCTGGCTACAAAAGTTCATCTCTGGTTATGAATCCTGATTCCTTGGAGGTCGAACATCACTGTTTCTCTTGATGCAGCCTACTAACCATCGAATCCCTTCATCAACTCCTTCCCTAAATTAAAGAAAAAACAATCATTCTATAATCCTGAGCACAACCTTTAATGATGAAAAAAATATTTGTTGATTGAGGTACAAACCCTGTAAGAGCTGAAATAGGCATAACCATGCAGTCTCTTCTTCCAATCAAATGTGCGTTTTGATTAAAAATTGGTTTTACTTCTCGCACTCCCATGCAGTCTGTGACATCTTGTTTATTAGCCAGTACTAAAAGTGGTACACCCTGTAGACTCTGGCTACTAATCATTTTGTCTACAAATAAATTTGAAAAAAAAGTTGACAACTCAGCTACACAGTAAGATATTGACATTGAGGAGCTCTCTATTTCAGCCTACAGAAAACTTACCAAAGGTCTCTTTAGATTCAGATATTCTATCTCGATCTGACGAATCCACTATATATATAACAGCATGTGACTCTGCATAGTACTGCAAAATTTAAAAAAATGTTTTAATTTTTAAAACAGGAGCGGGGCACTACAGAAATGATATACAGGATAAAAAAGTAACTACAATAAAGAACTTCAAAAAATTTCATCGAAAATCGTATCCACAGGACTGTTGACCAGCTGTAGTTGTTCAAACCACAATGTAATGTGATCCTGCACAACAAGCCTAACTTTGCATCACATACAGTGAAAGCAAACAGGAAAGTCTAGCAGTATATACCTTGTCCCATAAGGATTGGAGTTCTTGCTGGCCACCAAGATCCCAGAAATTGAGAGCAATACCTCCAACAACAACTCGTCCAATATTGAGACCAACAGTACTCGTTATTTTACTAGGATTCATGCCTTGGTACTGACAAAGTAGTTGTGTTTTCGCTGACTCCAAATACGTCTGAAGAAAGGTAATTCAAATAAAATAACAAATTGTCCAAAAGTAATGTTAAAAACAGATATCTGAAATAATACACTTCAATCAGAAGGTTAAACATTACTCACTGTTTTACCAGCATTGTCTAGTCCTAATATCAACACGCAGTATTCATCCTTCTGTACCAAGTACTTGTAAAGTCCATAGAACAGAGTGTACATGTCGGCATGGGCAGGGCAAAACAAATATCAGAATCTATCGCAGTCCGCATTGATACAAACAAATCATAACCTCCACGTCGTGTCCTGTCAGTTGACAGCAGAAGAGATTTCTCATAGTCCACCACTACACTTCTCATGTTCTGTCGCGGGGGGTATAGCTGAAAAACGCCCACTACCCCACGTCCCTATTTGAGGTGCCAGGTGCCTTCATAATACTACCTGTACCACCCTAGGGTGGTCCACAGGCCCCTTCCTTCCTTCCGTTTTTTTTTTTTTTTTTTTTGCTTATACTGTACTGCAGTCTTTTGACATGTTGTTCCCAGTACTTCAAAACGCACAAATAGGCATATTTTGTGGGAACAAAAACATTTCTTCACACTTACAATTTGTTTTAACAGTCAGCGATGGAATGGATCGTCCCCTGGAGCACCGTGGTTTAGAGGGTAGCGCACACACGCACGACGTAGAAGGTCGGCGGACCAAGTCTCCGTCGATCTGAAATTTTTCTCAGGCTACCAAATTTCAAATCGACCCCAACAACCCGCCATTTCACCACGACCCCCTCGTGGAGTTCCGACGGCGTAGTGGTTACCGTCCTGGTGGCACTGCATCGAAGGTGGCATAAGACTCGGCTCTGGGCCGGGGTTCGACTCACGGCGAAAGCGGGCGGTGGGAGTTCCCTGGTGCCTGGCACCTTGCTGTGGTGGCGGGTGCACTAATAAGACCTAGAATCTGGCTGTAAAGGAGCTCCATGACCTGCGGTAGGTCAGTGCATCAAAGGGAGACGATACCGCGACGATCCTCTCGCGGCCTCCCCTCTCGCCTCGCTCAAATTGGTCAAATAAACTAAATTCCTCATGAAAACGAAACAAAAATGTATTTACAGTATGCTGCGAGCACCAGAGGTGTACAGGTGATAACGGGTACCGTGGGGGCCGCGTCGGCACCTGTGGAGTGGTTGCAGCAGCCGCGCTCGCCCGGCGGCTGGCGGCTACCCTCTCTCTGGCAACGGCGAAACATGATTCTGGCTGTATCCGGGCCGCGTCGTCAGGGGCTTGGGCGTCGGCACGGACCGCTCGGGCGTCGCCATGCGCGCCGGCAAGGTGGATCGCAGCCGCGGGACGGCACCCTGCTCCTGCTCGCCTCGCGCCGCGTCGCGCCGCCGGTTCAGGACGCGGGGCCTGGCGGGGCGGGGGGCGGCGGGGCGTGGCGGGACGGCGCGGCGTGGCCGAGCCTTGCAGCCTGAGCCATGAGGGTGGCGGCGGTGTGCAGCATGGGCCTGCTGCTCGGCCTGCTGCTCGGCGGCCACGCGGCCGGACACGAGGGCCTGGCGCCCGGCCCAGCCGACGACCTGGACGACGAGCCGACGCCCGCGCACTCCCGGAGCAGGGTCAGGACCACCGTCGCCGTGCCGACGGCCGGTAAGTGAGGTGAGGGGGCGGTATGCGACGGCGGCAGCGCAACGCCGACCAGCTCGAGAGAGTCGTGTGCCTGTTTTTCCGGGGTGGCTGCAGTTGAGACTTGAGTGGTGACGGTAGTGACCGACTGGGCCCTCACTCTTGGGGTAATAACAAAGGGAGGGCTAGGCGGTAGAGGCACACATCACGGATTGGCCTCGACTGTAGCACAGAGTGGACGAAGATGGACGAAGTGGGCGAAGTGGACGAAGTGAAGAAGTGTCCCGCCCTGCCGTTGTTGTAGTTTTCCCCCGTCCGACTGGGACTCTTCCCCCCGCCGCTGCAGTATACCCCGAGTGCTGCACTACACTTGCCCGCCTTCGTGTGTCGTCTGCACCGTCTTACACGGACAAACCATGGACAAGCCATGGACGAGGCAGGCGAGGAACACTCAGTCGCGCGAGGAAACTCGTTACAAAGTTTGCTTGTTTTCGCGTGAAGTGCCTCGCCTTCCTCCCGGGCTCCGCTGCCCTCACACGCTCACACGCCGAGACAGACACACGCGCGCGCGCGCGCACACACACACACACACACTGAAACCGCCCCGTGCCACACCATTCATTATTCTCTCTTTATTCTCTCGTTTAGTAAGGTCGAGGAATAAGCGGCCGACATGTAGAAGGCGTGAAAGGGCGCTCGGCTCGAGTGGCCCGGGCCGTATCTGTTTCACGGCAAAGAAGAGAAAGCCACTCGGCTTTATTGGCGAGGCAGGAGCAGGAGAACACCGGCGGCGCGGCACACGGCGAGCGAGGGAAGCACATAAAAATATTTGCCGGCGATGGGACGCTTTCGGTTGTAAAACTCCCGTCGCGATGTTTCTTCCGCCTCCGTCGGCTTTCCTTCAAAGTACACTACGTCGCCTTGCCTGTGGGCAGGCGGTGCGACCCGCGGAACGCCTTGCGCAAGTCTGTCGCTTCGCTCCTACGGAAGGAGAGCAGAAAAAAAAGAGGGGCCCAATTTTTCCAGCATCCCCCTTAAAACTCTGCGGAGGCCACTATAAACGAGAGACGCCGTTGCCGCTGCCTCTCCGGGAAATGGCAGGGCGTAGAGAGCGGCCGGCGTGTTTTTACGGGGCGGGGCGGGCGTGGCAGCCGTGGAGGTACGCGTGCACACGCACGCCCCTGCCTGCACTGCGAGGGGTCACCCAGAAAGTACGGCCGTCATTAGACCTTCACGCGAAACTGCCGCGAGTTCAGCGCCTGCAAGCTCTCAAAGCGCCTGGTGGGTAGACAATCTCTTGCCTGCCGTGCACGTGTGTATCGCGGGATGGCCTACCTTGTCTCTCGCAGGCGCCTCGCTCCCGTAATCTGCCGAATATTTCGGAGAAAAAACGGTCGTACTTTCTGGATGACCCCCAAGATGCTGCCGACTAAACTCGGCGGTCAGTGTTCAAACATGGTCATACCACGAAATGCACCACATCGTACAACTTGCACTTTCCCCGAGTCCCTGGTCGACTGCCCTTCCCGGAGCCTGGTCGACTACTCGCAATCGCGTGTCCAGCACCCGAGAATCGCACAATACCGTCCTGAAACAGTCAGGTTCGGCTAAAGAGCTCGTGCGACGCGCGCGCCAAGCGGAAAGGACGGCTCCGGTACTGTTTGTCTGGCCCTAGACAACGGGGAGCTCCAGGCGGACAACTAAACTTTGAATCGGGTTTGGAATTGCTTCTCGCGGAACAGGAACACGGGGGAGGACACTTCTTTCTTTAGGATAGATAGATAGATAGATAGATAGATAGATAGATAGATAGATAGATAGATAGATAGATAGATAGATAGATAGATAGATAGATAGAGAGATGGCCCTGTGGG